AAAGGAAGACACTGCCATCCCTAATTTTGAACCAATAAAGGGAAAGGAAGACACTGCCATCCCTAATTTTGAACCAATAGAGGGAAAGTAAGAAAATGCCATCCCTAATTTTGAACCAATAAAGGGAAAGGAAGACACTGCCATCCCTAATTTTGAACCGATAGAGAGAAAGGAAGACATCGCCATCCCCAATTTTGAACCGATAGATGGAAAGGAAGACACTGTCATCCCTAATTTTGAATCAACAGAGAGAAAGGAAGACGACTGTCAACTCTTGGGTTACTCTAATCAAATAGTGGGATTTGACTGTCATTCTTATACTACACACACAACCACAAAGAACAGGGTAAGATTTTGTTTTAATGAAGTAGGAACCCGAACCCTTAGATTCACATTATCCAGCAGGTCATGTCTTGTCCAAATAGGAATGAAAAAGACTACAATCAGAGCAAAGATTATCTGTATGTCTTTATACTGAAAACCATTTTGCATTACCGATAGTGTTTCTTGTGGTGTTTGAACAAAATAATCCACTAGCTAATAGTGATGCACATCAAATACATTAGAATAAATTCAGTAGTAAAATCTTTAAGACTAAGGGGTAATGTGATTTTCACATCGATGTCTTGTGTTACTTACATATTTTTTAAACATTTTTGGTGGGCCCAACTTTCATATTTAGAGGTGTTTTTTTTTGTTCTTTCTAAATCAGATTATAAATTATACACAAATTCTACTATACAGAGAATAATCACCAGCTGGTTTTTTGGGTCACACACATCATAGTCAAAATGTATTGAAACTTTTTTATATCCTACTCCAGAACTGAAGAAAGCTATCTATTTACTCACTTTCATTATCCAACAAAGCCTTGCAACCAATGCAAGTGGCTCGTTTCTTCGTGAAGGCTGCTAAAGCTCCCACTTTTGACATAACTACAGTTTTCGTTCTTGTGTGATCTCCCTCTAGAATAAACAGTTTCGAAATGTCAGAGTATGCATTACTCACTAAAGACTAAATGTTTAAGAGACACAAACCTTGACCTTAAAATATGTCTTAATACCAAAGAAAAAATAAGTATAACGTTTGGTTTATATATCCTAAACTGTTTTAAAAAATTACAATAACCTACCTAGGTAGTGTGAAAATAAATAATTTTTTAGACGAAAATATTTCATCAAATTTATAGGCATCTGGAGATTATCCATAATTGAGAGTTAAAAATTTTCTAAACGTAGTGTATTATTAAACATTAAAATAGATTATGAAAGCATTTTTAATCCTTTTCAATTAAACTCAGACTATTATTAGAAGTAAACAATAAATGACTTTCAGAGATCACCTTTGTTTTCGTATAAAACATAGTGCACAGAGCAATGTTTTAGTGCGAAACAATCATGTGGCACTAAAGCAAGAATGATATTCCATTATTAACATCATTAACCCATATATTAACACTATAACAACAGTGGAACAATTCAGTACAAGCTCTGTGGAACAACTGAAGCACATCTAAGCCTGCACTATAGAAGGAAATATTTCAGAATCATCACTACAGAAAGATTAAAATATAATAAAAAAACAAAATGTGGTCACAAAAGGATTGAGCGTGCGACTTACAGGAACAAAATCAAAATTGGCAGCCAAACTCGTAACTACATTTATAGCATTGATAAGAATTTTATAGCAAATATTCATTCATTAGTTAGCCAGGCCATGTTCTTAGTTCAACTTGAGACATGATAGTGGGTAAAACGAAAAAAACACATGGTCTTGAAATTTGGCATGTGAGGTCAGGGTCCAGTAGAACACATCAACTGAAAATGTGAAGTTAATATGGATTACCACAGTCCAAGCTACAGACAGTGGAAAATCGCTAAACTATCACTCCTGTTAATAACAGACAGTGTTTCCTGCAGGTTAGTTTGGCTGTGTGATTTGATCATTCAGTCCAAGCTGTGTAACAAGAACAAAATATGAAATACATTTAAACTTTCACTTACTAGTAGAATAGCAAGTATAAAACATTCCATTTCTAGCTTAATAATCCAATTCATACTTACAATTAAGATAACATGAAGGAAAAATTTTGAGCTATTAATAAAGTTAGGGCCTACTTTAGCATTCGTCATTAAATCATCTCTACCTATATATTCATCTCCACCTGTATATTTACACAAGCTAGACATCTCCACCTGTATATTTACACATTCTAGACGTCATCTCCACCTCTATATTTACACACGCTAGTCGTCATCTCCACCTGTATATTTACACACGCTAGATGTCATCTCCACCTCTATATTTACACACGCTAGATGTCATCTCCACCTCTATATTTACACACGCTAGACGTAATCTCCACCTGTATATTTACACACGCAAGATGTCATCTCCACCTGTATATTTACACACGCTAGTCGTCATCTCCACCTCTATATTTACACACGCTAGACGTAATCTCCACCTCTATATTTACACACGTTAGTCGTCATCTCCACCTGTATATTTACACACGCTAGTCGTCATCTCCACCTGTATATTTACACACGCAAGACGTCATCTCCACTTGTATATTTACACACGCTAGATGTCATCTCCACCTGTATATTTACACACGCTAGACGTCATCTCCACCTGTATATTTACACACGCTAGCCGTCATCTCCACCTCTATATTTACACACGCTAGCCGTCATCTCCACTTGTATATTTACACACGCAAGACGTCATCTCCACCTGTATATTTACACACGCAAGACGTCATCCCCACCTCTATATTTACACACGCTAGATGTCATCTCCACCTGTATATTTACACACGCTAGACGTCATCTCCACCTGTGTATATATATATATATATATATATAACATATGTATACATACACCAAATTCTCACACACTATTTAAATGCTTAGCATCCAAACTTTTGTGGTCAAAGCATTGCTATGGTAATGGAAACAAGTTGGAATTCTCAATATCTGTGGCACTTGAAATTCTTTTAGGCAGGATTAGATTAAAATAATCTATGATACCTTTTCATTAGCTATATTTTTGGACATAAGCAATACCAAGCATGGGGTGTGCGTATACCCGATTCGATTTTATTATTCCTCAGGATCTCTACCAGCCTACCCTCAAATTGAAATTCTGTTAGGCATGATTATAGTAAGTTAATCTATGAGACCTTGGGTGTGGTGAAATTCACCAACTCAAAGGGAGTCCAAAACTGTAATTAAATTTAAATTCGGTCAAGAGATGACAGAGCTATGAGCTAAAAGTTTGTACTTAAAAACCTTAGAGCCATTCTATCAGCTGCTATGCTACAGTTAATAACCCTTTCACGAATGATAAGGGGTTAATGATCATCATAAAATTAAACTGAATATCATAACCTTATAAATATTTATATTTCAGTTAAGTTGAGTTAAAAAGTTTAAAGTGTTATGTCCTTCCTTTCTAAATGAAGAGAAGTTCAATGCAATCAAGTAAGAATATAAAGAATATAAATCAAAATGATTATTTCAGGATATAATTAGTTTTTTTTTCAACTTTTAAGTTATACGATGACTCTAAAAGTCAGTTTTCTGAATAAGGCTAATTCACGTTACACTTTAAGCATAAAATGTTTTAAAACTCAAATCAAATTTTAAAATCACTTTGTCTCACTTAAAAGGCAGGACTTTGCTTTATCTTCTCCCAGGATGGGTTCAAAAATTCGGAGCAGAGGCTTGGAGATCTGGTTTTCCAGGTAGTACTGGGTATCAATTGGAATGTTATTCTCTAGAACAAAAATGGGGTCTTCAGACTTGAGGTATGCCGCTGTTCCTTTACTAGCAGCAATGATAACATAAGGAACTCTGTCACCAAGATTGGGTGCACTTCCTGGGTCTCGTTTTTTCATCCTGGATAATGAAAAGCAATCTGATACAGTTTCATTGTTTAATCACCTATATGGTAAAAATTTTTCTGGTAACAGACACAAAATATTTTACTTTGCTTTAGCATAAAGCTACACAATAGACTTTCTGCACTATCTGTTGTGGGTATCAAATCCAAAATGTTAGTATTTTAAGACCTGAGCTACAGGGATGGGCAGGTGTGGCACTAATAACCATGAATCATGTCAGTTGTTTTTGAAATCGCATCCTTAGTTAACTGCTATCTAATTTATCAATACAAAAACAAGTAACATTTCATTTGTTTTTTTTTAACTATCAGAGCAAAAACACAGTAAAATTTGAAACCTTCTGGGAAATACAACATAAGTGTTGGTCAAATGATTCCAAAACACAAGAGGCTATTTTTAGCCTCATATCATCTATGAGACGAAGTAAGCACACTGGAAAAGTTGGGACTAACAGGCATTTAAAACATGTATTAATACATATATTGTATAGTTATACATCATAGGTATCCCCCCAAAAAAACATGTATTAATAGTTTAACATAAGTTAGAAAGATTGAGATCATAAAAGAAAAAAACAGAATCATAAACTATGAAATAAAATTACACAAAAACAGGTGACATTTGAGTCACACTGATAACAATAACTTGAAACAAAACCACTTATAATAACTAACGAGTGAAAGTAAAGAAGAATGTAAGGTGTCAACCACACTATATCTGTTACCTCTAGTGCTGACAAGGTTGTTCACCTAATATCAAGGCTCATCAGGCTGGCTGGGATACAACAGACAAAGTAGTGGACGAGATGTTCTTTATGTCAATCCTTCTTACCAATAGAAAGAGCAGATTTCCCACTCTTTAGCTAACATGACCAAGAAACATTAATGATGTATTGGTTTGTATGGATGAGGTAGAAACAAAGCTTAGTCAATTGTCGAGAGTGGGGTTCCTAGCATTTGGCTATACTTTCTCACCCTATATATATTGACTCTCTCAACATAGGCTCGGTCAATTTGACCAACCACGTGACCTCTTTGTACTTGTTTAAAGTCTATATAGATTAAATAACTTCCAACTTTCAATATAGTGTGTATATCTTCACAAAATTTAGCAGTTAACATTACAAGTCTTTCAGATACAAAAAATCATTTTTTTAGTGAAGTATTTCCAATAAAATAAAAAAAAAAATTGTCCATGAATATATTGAGTATTTGTTTTGAATAGTCTGTGTGCAAAGTAATTTTCATGTTAAAATTAAAAACACTTTTCCTCATCTCAAAAATCTCAAATTTCCTTTCTGTAATCCCTAAACCTCCTAAATGCACTTCAAGCATTTTTTTTTTTCAGTAAAACTTTTGTTTACCTGTTATTTTCTCTACCCTCTTTGAAAATGGGATCGGTCAATTTGACCGACCTTGTAACCACTAAAAAAACAAAACAAAATAAACCTAAATTACCCTCTTTCTTTCTAGAATGACTTCAAATTATAACATGAAACTACATTCATTTATTCTAAGTAGCTCTAAGTTCATAACAGTATACATCTATTTATAATTAAGTTTTATTCTTATATTGCCCTTTGAACCATATCTAACTACTATGTGTGCCATTATAAGTTGTAAATCACTCAGTGAACATGCAGCTCACGTTACACTATTGAATTACATTACCCACGAGCTGCTCACGTGCATGCCTTATGAACCATTTTGATTATATTATTATTATTACTTATCTTACCTAATCTTAAATAACTTAAAAAGATCCGGATTTTTATATTTTAGTTACTTTTATAATAATAAATAAAGAATAAAAATGAAAAACAAAAAATAAAGTACTTATTATTATTATTAGCTAAGATGTTATGCTATTCTAATAGGTATAACATAAAAAGTAGTTTAATAAAATTTTGAATGTAAGACACTAAAGCCTTGTGTCATGCTCAGTAAAGGGTACCCAGGACAATAGGGTTAATCAACAAGAAAAACTTCAAGACACAAAGTTAGAAAGATTAAGAACACGGAATTAGCTAATGTTTAGGGAAATACAATTTTCAGAATAGGAACATCAAATATAGAAGAAAACCAGGTTCACAGTAATGGCCATATTACAGACTATAACAAGAAACATGTTGAATAATAGTGTATAATCTTGTAGGAAAGAAATTACTTCTTAATAACTAGGATTTTGTCTCAAAAAATCAAGTACCACAGAGTTATATGTTGCAACTAGGTTGGGCACGAAAGATAAACTATATATATCCTACTATAAAGGTGATCCATCATGTTTGCACATGTATGTTAGCATCAACCACCCAGAGATTGCTGTCTCGATCACTATAATTTTTTTTGCATGGTAACTGGAAACCCAACTGACAGTGTACACGGGCTATATTACCTTAGGGTTTTTTTACCTGAGAAGGGCAACTATTATCTTCTAGAAAACAGAATATGTAATTAGCATCCTTTATACAATTTTACTTTCTTAATGGATACCCTAAACTAAACATGTTTTAGGAACTGTGATGATGGTAATGTGTAAGATTACTCTCTTCATGACTGAGTTAGGAATCAAAAGGTAATAAAGATATAAACTTCACATAATGACCCTGTCACTCTTAACTGTCTATTTCAATCCAAAAAACAGCATCATTTAATACACACAAAAAAGCAGACCAAATGGCTCATACTGTTTAGGAACTTGTGCATCAAGAACAAATGTTAAAAGACTGATGATCCGAGAGAAAGTCTGACCTGTGTGCCAACTCAACGTGTGCTTGCTTCGCCGAATATTCATCATCCGTTTTAGTCAGCTCTTTGGTGATAACCAGTTGAGATATGTCTACTCTACTACACAGGAGGTCAGAAATTATCTGTTTGGCATACTCTACTGCTCCACTGGGGTCTCTGAAACAAAAATACTTCAAACTGCATGTGGAAAACTTGTATATTTACACACTACTGTATGTAATGCATGATTAATTCAAACTTCTTGGAAAGGTTTGAATATACAAATGTATATAATAATTTTAAAACTACTCATACTAGGTTGAATAAATAGAGTTGTTTAAACATTTGTTTAACAACAAGTAAAAGCTTGGAATGGTCTATTCTTTCATTG